CAATAAATTAAAATTGGGCAATTGCTGTGTTACGGACGTGACATTTGTATATATATATATATATATCCATACTCGCTTAATAAAGCAGTCCAGACATAAGAAAAAAATCTAAACATGCATTTTATATTGAATATGAGGGAAATACAGATGCTTTACGGAAGTGACACAAAACATCTTGGTAACACTTTATTTGAAGGGGTGTGCATAAGACTGACATGACACTGTCATAAACATGACATAACACCTGTCATGAACATGAAGTAGTCTTTATGAATGTTTATGACTGTTGTCATTAAGTGTCATTCGGTAAATTATGACACTTTTATAATGCAAAGTTGACATTGTTTAAATTGTCTTTGTTATGACAACTTGACATAAACCAAGACAAAAATATCTTTGTTATGACAACTTGACATTAACAAAGACAGAAATGTCTTTGTTATGACAACTTGACATTAACCAAGAAATCATAACCTGTCAACCTTACATCTTTATAACTAGTCCAACGTGTTCAACTTTACTTGAGGTAAGGGGAAATATTAATGACACTGTTGTTAAAGCATTTGACAGTGTAATAACCCTTAATGACATCTTTATAACTAGTACAATGTGTTCCACTTTACTTGAGGACAAGTAAAATATTCATGACAGACTTATGGTGTCATGACGGCCAAAGTCAAAACCAACCACATATGACAGGGTAATGTAATGTTGTAATGTAATGTCTGATCATTGAGGATTGTGTTGGTTAAATGAAAACTAATGGCATTTTCACAAATATGTGTATATCTTTTGACTGAAGTGTGTCATTTTGCAAACAATCTAGGAATTATGCAAATTTAGTGTGGTGTTTGGATAATTCTCATTATATTTTGAAAAAAAGAACCCGGTTTTCAAAATTGTGTGTAAACAATTGAAAAAAACTGTATTACAAATTGCTCTTATCATCAATATTGAAAACAGTTTATCTATTTATATTTATTTAGCCCATTTTTATTTAACTTTATTGTACTTTGTGTTTTTTTGTTCAAACAAACTGAAAAAAGCATTCAAATTTCTTTTATTTTACTACATAGTTCAAATAAATATTTCTCTTTAATCTACTACAGCAAAGTACTGTAGAGATTTACAAATCTTTGTAAAGATTTCTTTTCATGAATGAATGAATGAATGAACGAACGAGTGAGTGAGTTTATATATATATATACTACTGTACACCCAAACTGCTTCACAGCACCAGTGTGCAGCATCCACTTGGATGATGTGACAGCAGACACAGTTCAATGGCTCACATCACACAGTGCTCTAATCACACACCAGCTATAGGTGGAGGACAGATAATAGTTATCAATAATCTCTTTTATCAAGAATGTATTATATCAAGAAAAGAAATATGAATAATTGTATTTTGGTATACAACATTCCACACATTGTGTTGTAGTTGTACACTCTTAGAAGAAAAGGTTCTATATAGAACCTTAAAAGGTTCTAAAGCGCTACGTATTTGGAACCCCTAAAATGCAATGCATGAATGATCACAAAATTCAAGATATGGGGGTTAAAAAATGTAGTTAATCAAGATCACACGAAGAATGCAATTTCAGTTTTTATCCTCCAAAAATCAGTATGATTAAAATGGGATATTAAGTTACTACTACAAGTTTAATAAACAATAATTTAATTACAACTGCAAAATGTTGCAGAATAATGTAATATATGAATGAATAATAGCCTATAAAGAACCTTTCAAAATTTACTATGCATTGTATACTGTAGAATACATTAAATACTGTAGAGATAGATTAGTATGCTCTGTACACAGCCAATTATCTTCTGCAGGAATTAATTGTTGCAGTGATCTCACTTCCTGTATAAGCTTCTTTTTTTAGATCTGCAAGCTCAGCAATGCTTTTTAATATCTCATAAACATCACTAATCCATTCCTGACAAGAGGAGTGCATTCCAACTTTCCGTTAGCATATGAGAGTGGAGACAAGAGCCTGGATTAGCCGAAGACTAATTAGAAGATGACACACATCAATCACGAGATCTACCTGACACTGAGAAAGGAAGAGAACAACAAGGACGTGCAGTGCCAGAGTGGAGGCTGAACAACTTCGTATACTGGGCATCTTCAGAATGTCTTGGTAAGAGTGGTGTAAATAGACAGATAACTGTCAAACGCAGTGCTGAAATTTGACCTGTAACCAACCATCAGTTCTCTAGTATAAACAGGTTTGGGAAATGAGAAGAAAAAACCCAGAGCAGGACTGAGATCACTGTAAATCCCCAAGCTCTGAGTCAACCCCACTTTAGAAGTTTCAACACCTAATTTATAACTCTCTCTTTAATAATTCTTTATTACTATATCAAATCCATCAGCAGTGACTGAGCCTTATACTCTTGCATACTGCAAACTACATTATCATCAATACTGGTGGCAACAGAATATGGGATTGAATTTCCAGACTTCCAAGAAATCTCTTGCTTTCATATTCTCCATCCTGAGAAATATGATATAGTGTACCTGAAACAACGTCAAGCAGAGACAGCAGCACTATTTAGGTGAACTGCCATTCAAATTGTAAAAAAGCAACTAAAATATTCACTTTCCATTATACATTCATTTTAATCTAAAACCTTCAAGTAGAAAAATAAAATGCTCCTCCATGTTATTTAGGAAATACCTAATTTCAAACTTTGTTGTTACATTGCTTGTTTGGGGTTCTCTTTGTTCTTATTTTTATTTTCCCCCATCACTGGAAATTTAATCTATAGCAGCTGATAACTTGGAAAAAGATCGGGTTGGAATTCCAATTAAAATGTGGACAACTGAAAAATTGCAAACAAGGACAAATATCATACATATAAATATGATAATATTAGAATTGAAATTGTGGAATGCATATTGTGTGATTGTCTGTGTTTCGGTATGCTTTTGCTTTAAACTCTAGATTGAACAGATTTGTCAGTTTTATCAGATTTTCGAAGGGAAGCTAAGGTTACATGAGGTTCAATAAGGACAACTAGAGTGGCTTTAGGTTACATGATTAGACCATTGTGCAATTAAAGTAAAAGCCAGAAAGGAAGGGTTAGAGGCAGAGAAAAATGCAGCAATAGAGGAAAGGTAGAGATACATAAATAGAGATGGGCCACTGGGGGAACCTTTTACCCTCCAGACAGGATTATTTATTTCACACAGTAATCCCAAACAGCTTCTCGAGTAAATTAAGCTTCAATATTTAGCAGGTTTCAATAGGGGCACATTCCTCTTCCCTCTTCTTTTCTTTCTTAACTTTCTCTCTCCCTCACTTTCTTATTTGCCAGATTTTCTGTTTCTCTTTCTCTCTCCATCATATAAATAAATAAAAAATAAATAAAATAAATTATTCATTCATTTAAAAAACTGACCATCTTACAGTATATAGGTATAATTAACAGTCTTCTTTTTTTCTGCTTAAAGTAATTTTCAGCTAAGAAAAATACATAAAATTAAGAAACGTCAACAATTAAAAAAATGTATAAGTACATTTAAGACTAAGAATGGGAAGTGAACAGAAGTTTATCAAAACTAAATTATTTTTCTGGGTTATTTCAAGTTAAGAGTTCTGGCAATTGCCATAGCAGTACATTTCAACTATGGGGCAATGTCTGTCAGAACGTATAGAAGTGGGAATGTGAAGGTCATTTTTATTAGAACACTTGTAATAACGTAGATACATATTCCCAGGTATATACAAGGATATCATGAATATGACATTCATGGGTGTCATTGCATATACAGCACCAGGCAATATATCGCATTTATCAGCACATGGTCATGACAAGAATTGAAAGACTGGTTGTAACTTTGCACAGAAATATTACAAGCAATATTATCAGGATTTTTAAGTCATATAGGCATGGTTTTGAAAATGTGTTTAATGTGTTTTGGCTCATAGAATTTTATTGTGCGTCACTTTAAATGCATTTTTAGTTTGTTTTAACTAAGCAAGGGACAAATTGGAATGCCAGTGATGTTTTTGACAGAGCTTAAATAAGTATTAAATCTGGAACATTCTGTAATGGTGGTATGTGTTTGCATAAGGTCATTTTAATCCATTAGGTGAAGTTTAGCTGTGCTGGGAGCTTGTGCCATACCTCTGCTCTGTACGGTAGGAAGAGGGCACTGGCAAGGTTTCCTGTAACACCACTGAGAATGTAGATGATGGAAATGCGTAACCAGCCTGCTAGCTTCTCCAGGTCTCTAAGTATAGTCATTTGGAAGATCACAGACACCAGGCAATGTAGTAAACTAAAGAACAATCACATGAGCATGGGTCAAAGAAACTGTCAATAGCATTTTTGTGTTAAGTGTCAAATCTAGTAATAGTCTCAGTCTGCCTCTCCTTCCATGTACAGTATAGACATGAGAAAGAGTGCGAGAGAAAGAATGTGTATAAATAACTAGACCTTACCCAGCATGAAGAAAAAGGGAGAGCCACAGTCTATAGAACTGATCTGGGACACTGGGGTTCAGGAATGGCAGCAACCCACACACATCATCCAGGCAATGGACCTGATGATGTATGAAAAATATAGTGGGCCGGATGATATGATTTACAACAACAAAAAATGGCCTCCAATTTCCAGTATTATCATTTAATGTCCAGAGAAGTCTATTTTCAGAAAACAGGGAACCACAAAGCAATTTTTAAGTTAAGCTTTTAAAAACCTGTCTTGCTGTCTTAATTTTGATGGCTGGGCTAAAAACTATGATTTTGAATGTAAATGGATACCTGTGAACAGAGCGTGGCCTCCTCATGGAAATATCCACGCATGAATTGGCAGTACTCCCAAGTGGTAATTTCACATCTTTATAAATGGATAAAAATGGAGCAGATTTGAATAAAGATGATTTTCCCACCACTGAAAATCTTTTCATCTAAGCTCTCAAATTTGAAATAATATGATTGGAGAACAGTTGTGGATAACAAGATTTAGAGTAAACATAAATTTTTGTTTGTTTCTGACACGAATACTATGGTGCTTTTTGTCATGTCTGGAGCTCATCAGCACTGGTCCTCATTCACTTTCATTGTGGAAAGATTTATTTTTGTGTTCCAGGGAAGAAAGAAGAGTAATGGTTTTAAAACAATATTAGTGTTAGCAAATGAGAATATAATTTTTGGTTTAACTATTTATTTAAGGTAATTACTATGTGTATGAAGCTAGATTCGGTTAGTGGCTTTTGGTTAGTAAGCATATGACAAAATTGTCAACACGTTTAATGCAAACTGTCATCATCTAAACCTTGATTTTTATTATTTCAAATGTTCATTCATTACCTTCCTTTAGTTCCAATACAGCATGGCCTGCCCTTCAGTGTGCAGTCCATGTGTTTGTATCCTGTGTGGTTCCAAGTTTTAGGGTATGTACAAATCTGCAGTAGAGGAATAGAAGAGTGAAAAACAATCAAGGCATAAAACTCTCTCTCTTTCTCTCTCTGTGTGTGTGTGTACATGGGCACAATTTTCATAATTTTGGCTCTGTATGCCACCAGAATACAACTGAAATTAAACAATCAATATGAAATTGAAGTCCAGACTTGCAGCTTCAATTCAAGGGCTTGAACAAAAATATCATGTGAAAAGTTGCAACCATTTTTATACACAGCACCCATATTTTCAGGGGCTCAAATGTAATTGGGCTAATGAATATAGTCATAAATAAAATGTTCATTTTTAATATTTTATCGGGAATCCTTTACATGCAATAGAGACTTTAAGCAACAGCTGCTGATGAAACGGCACCAACGTTCTGACGTTCTATGGCGCATGTGCGACTTTAACCCTCTGAGGACCAAAATCGCGCCCCCACGTTTTGATCATTTTTTTCACATAGCTGTAACATAGACTTAAAATACTCCGTCATTAATGGTCATATAAATAAAATCAATACATGATTTTAAACTATAGAGGGTATTCTTTTTTTGTGTACACTCTTATTAATATGAAAATAATCTCAATTAATGTCTTGTGTTTTTGTAAAATAAACAGGGTGCGCTTTCATCTCACTCTGTCTCCGCAAAAATCTTTCTGAAACACGTCTGAAAAATGAACTGTAACTCATTAAATACTTAATGAGTTAATGATACTTAAATATGAAAGATTTCTCTTTATGAAACTGAAATTCTGTTCTTTTAAATGAAGTAATTTATATAAAAAGCAACTACTCTCAGTTGATCTGTATGAAAAGAGAGAGATGTCAGTCTTTTTCCTTTCACCGAATTATTGCGTATGACGTGTTAATGTGACCCCGCCCACAGAGAGAGCGCGCTGCGGTATTCAAACGCTAATGTTGAGGCAAGCCATAAAAACGCCCACATCAGAAAACGCCACCACCTCAGTAACCAGTTTCATTTTGAGGAGCACAGATTCAGCTGATGCAGTAAGTCTTTCTTCTAATCGCGTCATTAAATAGTGTCTGTAAACTGCACAAAGGCTGTTTAAATATTAAATACGTGTCTGTGTGTGAAGGAATAGACGAATTCACAGATGCGCGGGCTGTGCGTTAATTCACTTTCGCTCCTACTGTACATTAGTAAGACTATATATAGACTATTCTATTCTGATCTGTAAAACCAAAAAGACTGTTTAAATATGAATCGGGTGTGTGAACGAATGAACGTACAGATGCCTACTGTTACAGACGAAATAGATTATAAAGTTTTTACTATGAAATAGACATATAAGCTTTAGTTAGACAGTTTCTGCTCATATTATTTTCTTTTCAAGATTTTTCCAACTCTAACTTTGAACCAATTCTACAAAATGGCCCACATAACCTATCTGACCAGGATTTGATTCCAGGTATGACTAAAAATGGGTTTTGACTTTCATTTATACGTGGATTTTATACATATATATGAAGAGTTCAGATGCAAAAGCCTCTAAGTGCCATTTGAAATTTTCTTCTAGAATGATAATTTTTATCAAGCTTGTATATTTAACTGCTACTTATGTTCTATTGTCCTACAAAAGAACAGCTGATTTGTCATAGTCGTTAATACGAGGCAGATTAGATAAATACATGTTTTATTTTATGGCTATGTAGCATTTTAATTGATCTGTAATTCAATGCCAAGAGTAATTTAATGCCAAGAGCAACCGTTCTTCTTGCTTTTTTAAAATACTTTTTTTTGTTGGAGTATGGAGAGTAAGACTAGTTCAAGATCTGCAGTTGGTAAAGTCATTGAACTCCAAGCTTGTGTCTGTAGCTGGAGCAAGGCGACAATTGTCAGGGTTTTGAAGGTTCATCAAGGGAAAATTAAATGTTTGAGGGAGAAGGGAAGAGGGCTGATCAATACTTCTTTCAAAGTCAGTCAAGTCAGTCGAATGAAATCTAGCGACAGGAAGCAAACCACAGCTTGCAGGATATCAGCACCCCTGTCATAGAGGAGAGGAGGCTTACTTTGCACAGTTAGTGATGAACATATTGATACTTATGAACCCGGTCAGACTAAGCAGCATAAGAGAGAAAAGAACCTCAACGGGCATATGTCTGGAGTTAGATGGCCTAGAGCAGTGTTTCACAAACTTTTTCAGCCCAAGGACCACTTTATCTTCCTTTTTTTTTTCTGAGGACCACCTAACAAAATCCCACTCTAACACGCCCCCAAAAAACAAAAAAATTGTAAGGATAAGCTAAATTTAAGTTTAAATTTAACTCCTAACTGTGTCACGGTTTATAAATTCATTGATTCCTTCTTGTCTCGTGTTTCTGCTGTTCTGCTGATCAGCATCTACTGATCAGCGCGCCAGCTGACAATCATCCACTCACCAGCTGCAGCTCATTCAATCCCCTATATATACTCACAGTTTTCTCCTCTCATTGTCAGATCGTTGTATGAAGTCCTTTGTGTGTGTGTTTGGTCCTTTCCTGTCGGCGTGTCAGCTCGTGTCTTGTTCGTGTTTCCCTGGGATTATCACTGCCGTGGATTACATCACCTCACCTGGATCTTCACTTCACTTCACTTCACTTCAAGACTCATCACTGGAACCCTGACCATCTTGTCCCTGCGCTACCAGTCTTGTGTTTTGTGTCATCTGACCGTGAACTGAGTATTAAAGACCTCCTTACTTGCATTATTGCTTCTGTGGTTTTTTGACGTTACAGAACGATCTGACCCATAATGGAAGCAGCGAGTGAGGTAAACCCTTTGGAAGAGTTCGTTAACTCCAGCATTCGGCGTATGGAGACCCAGGAGAAGAACCTCAATGAGACGGGACACGCTGTTCAAGTACTGGTGGCGCAGGTGTCCGAGCTCACCCAGCAGATACAACAGCTACGAGTTCCCACTGCGCCCCTTGCACCAGCCGTTCCCCTCATTCCACCGGAGGGAGCTTCCCAGTCAGAACCCCGCCTACCCATCCCACAGACATATGATGGTGAGCCCAGTTTCTGTCGTGCTTTTCTTACACGATGTTCTATGCAATTTGCCCTGCAGCCCCGCACATTCATCCAGGAAGGATCGAAGGTAGCATTCGTACTCACACTACTGACTGGGAAAGCGGCGCTCTGGGGAACGGCGGTGTGGGAGAACCAGGATCCATGCTGCGCCTCATTCCAGACACTCTCCGCAGAGATAAAAAGAGTGTTCGACAGGGCGGTGGCCGGGAGAGAGGCGGCTCGGATGCTTACTGAGTTACGACAAGAGGAAAGATCTGTATCGGATTACTCCATCGAATTTCGAACCCTGGCGGCAGAGTGTCACTGGAACGAGGAGGCGCAGTGGGACATGTTCCTGCATGGGCTGGCTGACGGCGTTCAAAAGGAGATCTACGCTCTGGATCTTCCCAAAACTCTGAACGAACTGGTGGATCTGGCTCTTCGTGTGGACGCGCGTTTAGCAAGAGTGGAACGTAGAGCACCCACGAATCGGGCCAGGGTAGGAGCTGAGAGTCCACGATCCAGCAGCGGGGATGCGGTCAGTCCCGTCTACGATCACGAGCCCATGCAGGTCGGGCGAGTTCGGCTTTCCCGGGAGGAAAAGGAGAGGCGGAGATCCCAAGGACTATGTCTTTACTGCGGGGCCGCTGGTCACTTCGCCTTTAACTGTCCAGTAAAAGGCCAAGCCCGACAGTAAGGTTGAGGCTACTGTCGGGTGGGATCTCCGCTGCGAAGACCTCATCTACATCGGCCCTCCTCCCGGTAAGACTAAGATGGTCAGGTCACAATCACGACTGTCAGGCACTGGTGGATTCTGAAGCAGAAGGTAACTTCATGGACCATGGTTTTGCTCAAAGATTTAACATTCCCCTTCTACCACTCACCAGTAGGATAGCAGTTCAGGCACTCAATGGTCAAGATCTTCCTACCATCTCCCTCATCACCGAACCCATCACTCTTACCACATCTGGAAACCACACTGAGACATGTTCCTTTTACATCATGGACTCACCACTTGCACCCATTGTTCTCGGACACCCTTGGTTGACTGAACATAACCCCAAGATTGACTGGCTAAAGAAATCAGTGTTAGAATGGAGTGGTAAATGTCATGAGTCCTGTCTTATGTCTGCCTGTTCGTCCGTTGCTGTCTCTGTGTTTCAGGAGGAGGCAGTGGATTTATCTAACATGCCCGCGGAGTACTTGGACCTGAAGGAAGTGTTCAGTAAGTCTCGGGCTGCTTCTCTACCTCCTCATCGTCCCTATGACTGTGCTATAGATTTATTGTCAGGTAAGTCTCCGCCTAAAGGCAAGTTATATTCACTTTCTGTCCCAGAGAGGGAGGCTATGGAGAAATATATTTCTGATTCTCTAGCATCTGGGTTCATCCGTCATTCTTCTTCTCCAGCGGGGGCGGGGTTCTTTTTCGTGGGGAAGAAGGACGGGTCTCTGCGACCTTGAATTGATTACCGAGGGTTGAACAACATCACGGTGAAGAATACTTATCCTTTACCGTTGATGTCTTCAGCTTTCGAGAGGTTGCAGGGAGCGTCTATCTTCACGAAATTGGATCTACGTAATGCTTATCATTTGGTCCGCATTAGAAAGGGGGATGAATGGAAGACTGCTTTTCCAACTCCCCAGCGGTCTTCCAGGCTCTCGTCAATGACGTGCTGCGAGATATGGTTGATCAGTTAATTTATGTTTACCTGGATGACATATTGATATTTTCATCTTCTCTCCAGGAACACGTGCAGCACGTCCGACGAGTGCTTCAGAGGTTGCTAGAGAATGGGCTTTTTGTCAAGGCGGAGAAATGCGTTTTTCATGCAGTCTGTTCCATTTCTAGGATACATTGTGTCGTCTGAGGGAATTCGCATGGATCCCGAGAAGGTTAAGGCTGTGGTGGATTGGCCAATTCCAGATTCCCGTAAGGCTCTACAGAGGTTTCTGGGATTCGCCAATTTTCACCGGCGTTTTATTCGCAATTTC